TATTTTAATATATTAATACAATATCTTTTATTCAATTAATTTGAATCCGTATGAGTGACGAAGATTCACATCTCTTAATTAATTAGTTAAAAATTAAATATTAACTCTTATTAATATAAAAAATTCAAGTTAATTGAATAAGATGTTTATCTATTTATTTATCAAATCTCTCTAAAAAATTATACCGATAATACTCTTCGATAATGAAATTTTTATTTTTTTTTTAAAAAAAACATGACTATAATTCACTGAAATAATCTCAAACTAAAATGAAATAATGGCTTTTGCACCCAAACAAAGTTTCACTTTCAATTAATTATCTGTTTCAAGATTCTTGGGTATCAAACGCACATGCATGCTACATATGGTTTAACACATTGAATTATTGAGGTTGAGGTTGTTCCTTCTAAAGGTCCATGCATTGGGAATTAGTGTACATGTAAAATATATATCCCCACTTACCACCGTTTTGTTGTTTTTCTTTAATATTTATGTTACTTTGTACGACCCTATATACCATTGTGCTTTGTCGAGGCAATGAAAATAACAAGGGAAATAATCGCAGCCAATTAATGTGAATCAAGAAGAAAAGAGACAGATGCATTTATATATGCATTTATATATTTTAAAATGAGGTCACGAAAGATTATTTATTCACTTAGAAGAATGTTAGGGGACCACACAAGAAATTTATATATCGAACAATTATGTTAATTGACAAGTAGTTGTCGTGGACACTTATGGATATATATATATATATATATATATATATATATATATATATAATATATATATATATATATATATATATATATATGCTGCATTATAATTAATTGTTTGATGGTCACCCAACCCAAGTTTGAATCTATATGTCAATGTGGAAATGCATGAGTTTTTTTCTTTTTTCTTGACAATATAATAAAGGGTCAAATATAATTCGAATATCAAATTAGTAAATTTATTCGATCAATTAATAACGGGTTTGAGAAAAGATTAAGAAATTATTGTGGGAAGCGTATGAGCAATAATCTTACACGTAGTTCGTTTTGTTTAGATTTTGTTGTTGAGGTGACCTTCCACCTAACTTGATTAAAGCATTTCTAATATATCATGTTTATTTTTGCAATGGTAAATATGTCTATTTTTAATATAAAATATAATAGCTATACCAAATTCGGCTCCTGTACAAATATGAGTAAAGATACGAGCTAAGTACAGATATAATGAGGGCTTCAAAAATTTAAAGAGTTTGACATCTCATTTCTTGCCCAATAGAAGTTCTATATCACATAATAAAATGTGTCAAACATAACTAATTTTTCTGTTAATTACTCTCTATACAAGAGAATATATTCTTTCACAATGGTGTGTAACTATTATTCCTTTTTGTCAATATTTTAATTAAACATTTACTTTGTCATCACAATACATGGTACCACCAGATTATCATAAAATACGTGATTGTTGTCGCTATAATCATTAGTAAAAAAGTATTTTTCTAAAATCAAAGTTTTAAAATTATTAAAAGGAAATCAATTTTAAAAGTAAAGTAATAGCATTTTTGTAAATAATGTTACCACTTTTAAAATTGATTAAATTTTAACTGATTTTAAAAATACTTTTAAAATAGGCTAATGATAGTATTGTCAAGTCAATATCAGAAGTAAATTAAATTTCTCCAAAAAATTTGTAATACAGAAAATAACTTAGGTCATTCTTCATGAAGACATAAACGTATTTACTTCGTATTTTATCACACAAAATTAGTAAGGGGATTTAATATTTCAAATAGTATTTAATCAACAAAATAGAGAATTAAGATAAAAAAAATTCAATTAGAGAAATATCAATTCAAGGTTTCAATTTGTACAATAAAAATTTTATAGTTCAATAATAAATCCAAAATATCAATCAACTTAGTTCAACACGAACTTAATAAAAAGCATAGATATAGATCTAGATTTATGAATTCCATCAAAATATGAAACAATCATGATCTCACAATTTTAATAAAATAAAAAAAATGATGAATGGTTGAATTAGGCGATTTAGGCCTAAATCTAAATCTAAATTTAGATCTAAAATTAATCTTCGACCTCTATTCTAGATATAAAAAAAATTCATAATCATAAAAAACAAAAATGAAACCTAAAACAGAGAACAAATGAAACAAATAATTCCTTTGATAAAAATATTAGTAATTAAAATTTTATCGTACTTATAAAAACTTAGAATCGATTAATAAATTAGCCACATATCATAATCATGTTGCAGTAATCTAATTCATGTAAGTAAGAGAAAAAATCTGAGACAGAGAAAGAATTTTGAGAGACTTCTTATAAGAGAAGAAACGTAATTTTTGAAAAATGAGGTATATGATGTCAAGTGTACATGTGTTACACTTATTTACAGACTACAATAATAGGCCTGATTAGAGTAATTAAAGGCCCAGCCTACTAAATCAACTAACTACATCATTAAACAAATCCTCACATTACATTCTAAAAAGAAAAAGAAAATATTGTGCAGGACCGTAACTTTTCAATACATTTTTGAGTAATGTAAAGTCCGAAATGGCCTTTTCTCCTAACAGAGAAGTTGTAAAATTCTCTCTTATCTTTCCAGGGACACCAAGAACATTCAAATCCTATTTTAGAAGCTCTAGATATAGCTTGCACAAGAAACAATATCAAAATAAGAAAAAATTGTGAAAATTAACTAAAATTTACATCTAAAACCAAAGTGACTCACTAGAACAAATCAAAGTTAATATATCATAATATAATACTAATAAAAGTCAAATAAACCAAAAGCAATATAGAAAAAGATATACAAAAATTGGTTTATCAAATATCCTCACACTTATTCTATTGTAGTATGGGACAAAACTCATTAATAAACCTAGAAACCTCAATACAGCCGTATTGAGTTCAGTGCGGCCG